GCTCACGTCCCAGAAAATCTGCTCTAGGTGTTTAACCCTGCAGCTGTCTTCTAAGTTTCTGTGAACTCTACTCTGGTACTTTTAACACTCTGGTACTTCTTGGCATATGCTATTTTCTTTGTAGGTGTTATTTTTCCCTTTTCAGTTTCCTCTTGCAGGTGTTTGAAAATGTGAAGTGAAGTGAGGTGAGGAATCCTGGGCCTCACACTGTCTACTGGGAAAGCTTGTGTGTTAGTCAGCTTTCTGTTACTGCAACAAGTACCTAAGACAAGCAACTTATTAAGAGAAAAGATTTGTGTTTGCTCATGGTTTCAGATCTTTCAGTCTGCATCCTTGGGCTGCTTTGCTTCTTGGACATGGTGAGGCAGTTAATTGTGGTGGAAGCACACTGCAGAGTGAGCTGCTCACCTCGCACCAGGTGGAAAGCATAGTGAGAGGCAGAGAACTCCTCAAGAGCACACCTGACCTAGAACCCCCACTGAGCCCTCCTCTTCCAGGCACCATCACTTTCTGAGGGGGACAAGCCTTAACTTGGGGCTTTGGAGGCACCACCGATCCAAACAATAGTACTGTGCCTCTTTCCGCCACCTAGTGAAGTAGTGTTCAAACCCCAGCTCTGCCCAAGGGTATCCTCAGGGCCTATCTTTCCTCATTTCTAAAATAAAGAAAAGAATGTCTGTGTTGTAAAGTTGTGTTGAATATTGCAGATAATAAATACCAAGTTTCTAGCAAATAGAGGCGTCTTTTGTTCTGTTGATAGTTTTCCCAGCTCCTTCAGATGGCTGTTATTCATGGTGGTCTAGAAAGCATAGTCACTCCTGTCCTCTGTTTAGTTGGTTTTAGTGTCAATGTCACGAGTTTGTATGGACTGGAGATGCAATGAACTATGGGATCGTTGCAGTCTGTCCTCTCCTTACTGATGACCCTTCCATCTGCAATTTGCTATCTTCTGACATCCTGACTACTTACAGTGCCAGCAATTCCTATTTCTTTGCAACTCTCGGTTCGATGCCACCTGGTCCTAATGATTCAGTTGCATTTAATTTGTTGATTAAATGTAAAATACTGAGTGTATTCACTGCAATTTGAATAGCTCTGACCGGTCTTCTTAAAAAGGCAGATTGGCAATATGATTTAGAAGGCGTTTCGTGTAGTCTGTAGTTTTGATGGCTGTTGGGGACTTCAGTTTTTGTTACTATGCGTGCTTTTTATTCATGAATCTTTGAGTTCTTTGCTTCCATCTGACACCATGTGTTTGAGGTTGTATTTTATGAATGTGAAATCTTCCACATGATTACTAAATGATTTAGGTTTTATTTCTGCCTCATGTGTTCTTAAAAATACCAGCTGCTGAATTTAATTTGACTGACACATGAATTTTGTAGTTGCTAAACATGAATGTATTTTCCTTGTTTGTATTCATAAGCATTTTGGTCCATATGTTAATGTGTTCCTTGATTTAATCTCATTTCTTTATTTTAAAAATCAATAAAACAACAGAAACCTTGGGAAACCCGTTGGTTAAATTTTTGAAAACGTTTCAAGTTTTGAAGTTTAAGCTTAGCTTACAAAATTCCTTCCTGTTTTAATGATTTCCCAAGTTTTCTATTTTAGGAGCTTTATTATTTTGTTAGTAAGACAGCTTTCGATGGTGATAGAATTTTATATTATTTCTATGAAAACAATTACATTTTGGCTTTGTGGAGGAAATATCTCTCCTCAGTCGCTCGTTTCAGTGTTAAGGACCGGGACCAGAGTTAGGCACACAGTGTGCTGTTATGAATCTGTTTGTCTGTAATGATGGATCTTAATAATTTGGAGTGAAAAGCATCTTACAGAATGGATGACCACTGTGACTTTCCACCAGAGACTGGAGGGCCTTCATGGGATAGTGCGTCGGATCTGGAAGAGAGTGGGAGCAGGTGGTGTGGATGGAGGCAGTTTGTGAGCAGGGCATGGCTTCTTGAGCTTGAAGGCCTGGTGGATATTCAGAAGACAAAGCCTGGCCCATAGGCGGTGGTAGGAGCAAATGCACAGAACGAGAATGTGGCTGGCCTGACCTTTGTGGATGTATGGCGTATTGAGATGTCTGTAAAGACTGATGACAGGCTTAGACTCACCTTGAGTTCTGCATTGTGCCCGACACACAGTATCTTACTCATTGTGTAAACTCTGCAGATACTTGTTGAATGAACTACAATTTTTACTTTTTTGTTCTTCTTGGACAGTCCTGGGGTTTGAACTCTGAACCTTGTACTTGGTAGTCATAGAGCAGATGCTCTGCTGCTTTAGCTACAAGTAGCTGGGATCACACACACGTGCCACCATGCCTGACTCTCCTGCTTTTTATTATGGTTCCTGAAGCCACTTTTCTCTGTGTCCTAACATGTTACGTCTTTGCTTTAATGTAGTTTCTGCAGAAATAAAAGTTGAATGTTAAGCCAGGCGTCAGTGGCTCATGCTTGGTAGCTTGTGCCTGTCTACCTGGGAGGCTGAGATCAGGAGATTGTGGTTTCAGTTAGTTCAAGAGACCCTGTCTCCAAAATAACCAGAGCAAAATGGACTGGAGATGTGGCTCAAGCAATAGAGTACCTGCTTTGCAAGTGTGAAGCCCTAAATTCAAACCCCAGTCACAACAACAACAACAAAAAGTTTATAATTTCATTGATTATGTGCAGTAGTTAGTTTTCAAAAACTTTAAACTTAGTTTCACATTAGGAAGAAATGGCTTTTGTTATTGACTTAATCTTGTATCTCTTAAAATATTTTTATGGTGAAAGGTGCTTTTTAGATGTCAAAGAAACATTTCTCCTCCGTTGCTTGGCTAACTTTTTAGGTATAGTTAAAACCATCATTAAAGCATCAGAGAAAGTAAGAGTAACCTTAACCAAGGGTGGGTTTAAATAAAAACTAAGTGAAGTCTGTACTGCTATGGTGATATACTGAGTAAACAGCAAGTTAATATAAATTGTGAATAAGAAATCAGGGTTAGAAACTGTAATGTCCTTCTTAAGAATTTCCTTCCTTTTTGGAAGTAGTAATGTCTATGGGGAAGAGGCTCTGGGCATCTTCTCTGTTTTTGTTGGATGATAAAATCCACCTAAAAATAAAACGTGTCCATGTACAAAACATGGACACTTACACTCTTGGTTATTGGCCTTTTCTTGCAGCACTATCCTTGTAACAGTTTGGTTTTTGTCATTGTTCCTAACAGTAGAGTAGTCTTGTGCCCGTGAGCTATTTATTTTAACTAGTTCTTTAAAAGTCTCTTTCTGGCCAATTTTATCACCTATGTTTGTAATATTATAATATGAACTGGTAATGTGAACCAGTACTTACTCATTTAGCTTGTCCAAGTGGTATTTATCTAATCATTTCCTACTCTGTCAGGCTGTTTCATAGGTACTGTGGAGGCTACAGAGATGAACAAAGTATTAATTTCTTGAGATACTTGTATCTCCTGCAGATTCTGGCTTTTTTCAGTAACAGGGTAAAATGACTCTGATTTATTTATACCACCGTCCCTTTCAGAAATCCAGTTTGCACTGGTGGGTAGTGTTAGAGAAGTCAAGGGAAGCAGAGAAGGGACTTTGCAGAGGCAGCTAGCTCCCTGACTGTGGTGGAAGCCCCAGCCTCCCTTCTGTTAGTGTGTTTCCACATCCAGGCTGTGTGGGTAACTGCAATTTGGCCCCCGGCTTTCCCTTAGGTTTTGGAGCTTGATTTAGGTTTTATTTTTACTGACTTACACTAGAGTTTTGACTTACTGTAATGCTGACAACTAAAACGGCTAATATTAGACCTGGAAATTATCTTAAGAGGGAAATTGCTTATTTCTTAAAAGTGTGAGTATTAAGGAACACTGAAAGATATATCTGTGAAGTGATCATAAAGTGATATAGTTCAAGTTTCTTACCATATTAAGTATTCAAGACTATGTATATATATAAAGTATGTTTATAGTTTTGTTATGTAGTTTACATATAACTATGTATACTTTAAAACATTCAAAAGTATTTCAGTATTCAAAGATAATGTGTGTATATGTATGTACACACACATATAAAATGTTTGCCTACTTAATTTTTATTTTACTTAACCCATATGGAGGTAACAGTTGGTCATTTTTACCAATGGTCTAACGATCATACAGTAAGTAGGTCTGGGTTTATTTCATTTAGAACAGATTGTTCTTTTTAAAGTAAGGTGTGATAGCATATTTAGACACTTTTCAGCATTTTTTTTTTTGGCAGAACTGAGGTTTGAAATCAGCCTCAAGCTCTCTGGGCCGGCACTATACCACTTGAACCACTTCATTCAAGAAAATGCCATACACCCGGCTATATTCTTACAGCGCAAAGGTTCCTGTTTTAGATGTGAACGTTAGGAATGCTTAAATAGCTGTGTTGCACCAGAATAAACAACCTCAGGCTGGAGGCATTTTTAATTTCTTCATAGTTTTCAAAAGAAAATGTAAAGAACATAATTGATCAAGCTAATAATAAAAAATGTGTTTTGAGATGCATCTCAAAAGTATTATTTTATATATGGGAAAGTGTTGTTGAGACATTCCCATTTTAAAGTTTAGGAAGCTAAGAATTGTAGAAGAAAGTCTATAACCCTTCTGAGTTTCCCCTCCTAAGTGCAGGGCTGGGAGTTGAATGCTGAAGGTCTAATGACAGCTGGGCTGATGACGGGCAAGTCTCCATTAGAAACAGACATGTTTAGCTCTGGGTTCTTTTAGTGTTGGAGCCAGATCCTTGTCCTGCATTTGCTTTTTGTTTCACCCAGTGCCGTGAATGAACTCAGGATGATACCTGAAGAAGTCATAGATGATTACTTGTAAACATTTATTACGTTTCAAAAACTCCTGAGATCTAGTCCTGGGTGCACGTAATTTAGTTCTAGATACATAGTGCAGACCTACGGATATTTATAGAAGTTGAGGCATGTTATGACAGAGCTCTGTCTTCCTCATGACATGATTGTTTTCTGATTTGCAGGTTTTAAACGCTCAGAGAGCAGGGTACAAGGCAGCCATAGTCCACAATGTCGATTCCGACGACCTCATTAGCATGGGATCCAACGACAGTAAGTACAGGTATCACTTTTCTTCTCTCCTGCTTGACAGATCATTTGAAACTGAAAGGTCAACAGGATTTTCCTTCTCATTTTCTGCTTAAACAGCAAAATTATTCTCTATGAGATAATTCTCAGTTGTTAGACCTCTTGGGATAATTTTATTCACAAAACAGGTGGAATTGACTTGTTCTTTTCTGAGCTATGTATTTTACTTACTGATATTTTCTTAATACCCCCAAGAGTAATGAGAGCTTTAAACAGAGATAAAAATGCTGAGTTAGGAATGCCATAGAAATGTTTTTGGATTTGTTTAGATATTTCACAACATTAGCTTTTAGAACATAAACACATACACCAGACATTGACTATATTCTGCTGGAGTTTCAAAGCCATAAAAGTTGTTTTTTTAGTTTTAGTGGTTCTGGGACTTGAGCTCAGGGCTCCATACTTGCCAGGCATGTGCTCTAACACTTGAGCCACCCTCCCAGCCCTTTTTGCTTTCATTGTTTTTCAGATAGTTTCTGGCACTTTTGCCTTGAGGCCAGCCTTGGACCACCATCCTGCTGTCTCCACCTCCCATGTTGCTGGGATTACAGTTGTGAGCCACTGTGTCAAGTGAAGGCCACACACTGTGCTTTCTTAATTCAGTTGGTTATTTGCCTTTGACATTAGACTGAAGCACTTAACAGTTTTCCATCTTAAATGAGAATCTTTCTTTACTGTCTTCTAAACTTTAGCTTATGGGGAAATTAGCCAATTTTAGTAAAACAGCTGGCTTTATCCAGTGATTTTTAAGCTGTATCTTCACTGACTTCTAGCTTCTACAATTGAGTTTATCCATTCTGATGGGGGTGGGGGATACTTCAAGGTAGCTTTGATTTGCATCTCCCTAATGATTAGGAAGCATTCGGTCATATGTCTTCTTTTGAGAAGCGTCTGTTTGGCTCTGTTGCCCATTTTTAAATGAGGATATTTCTTTTTCACTGCTGAGTGGCTATCAGCCCTTGTCAGACACACAGCTTGTCGGCACTCTCCATTCTGTGGGCTGCCCCTTTGCTCTGTTGATGTTTGATTTGCTATGCAGAGGGCACTGCAGATTTGGCACATCGTCCTTTTCCTTTAAACACTTCCCTTTTAAAAAATTGTCTCAGTTGGTACATCTTAGGTGAGCAACTTTTAGGATCTGTATTATATTACTGGGAGAATGAAAAGGGTGTATCCTCTGGCCTGAAACCTAACTCAAGATCCAATTCAAATCAACTGTGTAACTTTGAGCAAGTCGCTTTTTCTTTGTGTGTTTTGCTGAAGGCTTGAGACCAGGGTGTAGCAAATCACCAAGATCTTCTCAGAGACTGAATGTCTTTGGGGTTGAACAAACTGGTTATCATTTATAGAAGGTTTACTCTTTCTTCATGTTTTCAATAAAAGTTTTGCAAGTTTGAAGTGTGTGTTTCCTTCAGTTCTGTCTTTGCAATACCATCAAATCTTTTTGTGGTAATTCTGGCCGTTCCTAAGAAGAATAAATGTGCTAAGTATTGAAAGTAGCACATAGACATAGAATCCTCCTGTTGCCATGGAAATGTTCCAACTTAGTTGTGATACTTCAAAATTTGCTCAGAATTTGTAGTCTTCATCTTACTGCTTGGGTTACTTTTTGAGGTATTTTGCTCTATCCTTATGCATGTGTGTGCTTAAACATCTCACTGGCCAAAGGCAAGTGTTGTAAAGACCTTTGCTGTTCGCACCTTGCTGTTAACTTGTGGAGGAAAGGAATGCAGGCTTTTAACCCTTAGTCCCTACCTACGAGGAATACCAGCATTTCCCTGCAGGTTCAAAAGCCCCTTTCTGTCTGCCTTTCTACAATGAGTATGCCCATTTTTATCTCAGCCAGGACACAGAATCGGTTGATTTGCTGAGCCAGTAACATTCTTTATGTTTAGGAGGCTGCAGTATGCGGGAAGTGCAGCGGTCTCAGAGCCAGAAATGTTAATTTCTTCCAGGCAGGTCAAAGCACCAACTATCCATGCCTTGGGAAAGTTGCTTAGCCTTTCTTACCCCATTAGTGAATTGGTTTTATTTTTATTTAGCCTGACAGCACGGTAAAGATAGGAGAGGTGTATGGGTGTGTCATGGCCTAGTGGGAGGAGACTAGAAAGGGGCCAGCTCTGCTGCTTCTCCTTTCCTTCAGCAAGCATTCTTTGATGGCTTGTGCTGTATCCTGCATGGTTGTAGGTGGCGCTACTGCAGCAGGGCTTGATGACATCAAAGGCACTGCCTTCATACTTTCAGTGACATAAAAAGTACAGCGGGCAAGAATGTGCCTTCTGGACACTTATCTACCAGGATTTGCACCTCTGCTCCTCCACCTAAGAGCTGCATGGCCCTGGATTCGTGACCCAGCATGGCTGTGCCTCAGTTTTCTCACTTGTGAAAATGGGGATGAGGCTGGAACTTATCTCATTGGTTGCTGTGAGGTTTGCACGAAGTCAGGCTGTGAAGCATCTAGAAGACTCCTGTTCTTAGTCCCCTTGAAAGCTGTTCAGCCACTATCATATCATTGCTTCCTGGGTGAGAGAGAAGGTCAGGTGATGTGCTGTGAAGAAAGCCTGCAGGCTGAGGTGCTGTAGCCTCAGGGCCAGGAGGAAGGAGGCTGCTTCAGATGGGTGGGCAGAGAGGCTGTGTGAGCATCATCCCAGAGGACATGCAGCAGGGCTCCATGGAGAGGAGCCCCAGCAGAGCTCTGCTGCTGTTGCCCAGGGCTGTGCAAAGCCACAGCCACTGGAGTAGAGAGCAAGGGACAGAGTGGCAGCCGTGGCCACACCACGTGCGGCGTATCACACAGCACTGTGATAAGTCAGCTCTGTTGGATTTCGTCTGAGTAGCTAGAAGGCGTGACGTGAGCTCATCTCATCACTTCAGCTGGGATTTTGTTTGTTTAGTTTTTTGGTTTTTGGGCTTTTTCTTTGGGCCAGTACTGGGGGTTGAACTCAGGACCTCTAGGCAGGTGCTCTACCACTTGAGCCATGCCCCTAGCCCACTTTAGCTGTTCTTTAGAGAGTAGATTGAAGGTGAAAGATGGGCATCAGTGCCCATACAGAGACCATTAAGAACATGGTGGCACTGTTGCTCACTCCTGTAATCCTGGCTGTTTGGAAGGCTGAGATTGGAAGGATCGAGGTTCAAGACCAGTCAGGGCAAATAGTTCATGAGACCTCATCTCTAGAATAACCAGCGCAAAATGGACTAGAGGAGTGCTCAGAAGGCAGAGTGCCTGCTTTGCGGTCATACACACACACAAGAATGTCATACAGCAACCAAGCAAGAGCGACAGCACCTTAGAGTCCTAGCAGTTAGGTGATGAGAAGTAGTAGGGTTATGGATGTATTGGGAAGGTGACAGAATTCGATGTGGGGAGTGAAGGAGAGGGAGAGTCAAACATGACTCCAAGATGTCTAGTTGGAGACCGAGTTCTGGTGTTCATGGATGGGCAAGAGTAGAGGCGAGTGCACTGAAAGTGACTCTGAGTGTTCTATTTGAGGAGCAACAGCTCTAAGGCCCCTGAGCCGGTCAGCTGGGGGCACCGAGCAGCAGCTGTATGAGTCTGCAGAGTTCGGAGCTGGCCCGACATCATGATTTTCCTGTGGTAGTTGCATGGGTTTGACAGTGTGCGTTTCTCAGAGGTAACATGCATACTGAGATTAAAACGCAGTTTTTTAAAAGCTTTTGTGAAATAAAACATTTTTGTCAGTAGATAAATTATGTTATAGGGATTAAAGCCTATGAGAACTGGACACAAGCAAGGCGAGATGCAGTTAATTGTTTTTAGCTCCCAGCCACACAACAGGGAAAGGCAGAACGGCTGAGTCTACTAAGTTGTGTTCAGAGAAGCAGGAGTGTGCCTGTTGCAATGTCACACCCCTTCCTGTGTCTCCACCCTGTTTGCTGCTATGAAAGATCCCTGAAGGAGGAAGAGGGGATTTTGCCTTTTGGGGCTTTACTTTGGGCTTTTGGACTTTTTGCTTGGCTTTTTGCTTTTTTGCTTTGGGGGTGCTTTTTGCCTTTGAATATTGGGAAGACACTTTTACTTTGGGCCTTTTGGTGTGGGAAGCTTTTGGAAGGGAAAAGAATTGTTGAAGGGAAAAATTGCTGAAGGGAAAAGAATTGTTGAAGGGAAAATGCTAAAGGGAAAAGGGAAAAATTGTTGAATGGAATTGTTGAAGGGAAAATGCTAAAGGGAAAAGGGAAAAATTGTTGAAGGGAATTGTTGAAGGGAAAATGCTAAAGAAGAGTTGATAGAAAGTCTGCGCTGAAAATTTTAACATAGGCTTCAGAAAGCAAAGCTGAGAAAGAACTTCATATGTCGACCTTAGGAAAGCTAAAGAAAAGCCAAAGAGAGCAGGGGACAGTGCAAGTGCAAGTCTAAGGATCTAGACCTTAAGAGTTATGCATGTGCAGGTGTTTGCTCAAACTTGGCTGTTTGCAAGTTTGAGCACCAAGGCTTTGAGAGAGCTAAAGAGAGATGGGACAGTGCAAGCCTGGGGGCAAAAGACTTTAAGAGAAATTCATCTAAAGATAAGCTAAGAGCAAACATGGGACAGTGGGAGCCTAAGGAAAGAGGATTTAAGCAAGGTTTTGAAGAACTGCAAGGAGCAAGTCCTTAAAGAATCAAGATAGAGAAAAGAAGCAATGAGGGTTGTGCGTCTCCACCCAAACACCCAATATACCTGACCCCAACTTTCTGTCTGTCTGTCTATCCTGTGTCTTTTCTAAAATCTCCAGTCACCCCCAGTTAAGCCCAGTTAGATCCAGTAATAACTTCACTCCAGAAAGGGAGAGGGTGCGAGAAACAGCACCCTCTTCAGTGTTATATCCAAGGTAGCTGTTAGTATTTGAAGATAGCATTTCCCCTTTTTATTTTAATCCTCTTCCTAAAAAGAAGCATTTTCTGCATCTCTTTAGGTATCATAACTCAGAAGTTAATTGTTCTCTATAGTTACAAGACTAATTATAATTACAAGTCAATTGCTATATATGTGTATGTATACATATACACATCAGGTAGATATTTTCTGTCTTGCTAAGAGATTTTTCTCTTAGATTTTACTTTATTTGATAATTAAAACTTGGAATTATATACTCTTTGTAAGATGCTTTATTCTTTCATACTCTGATAAACTCAAGGAGAAACTGTTGACTTATAATTAGTAACCATATATGCACGATCCTATGACATTACTCTGCTGCTGTTAAAGATAATGTAGATGTTTATTTATTGACATGACAGGATATCTGAGGCATGTCACTGAGTGGGAAAAAAAGCTTTTTTTCTATTATTGTAGGATAATCATTGATACAAGAATAATTTTTTTGATTCCATCAATAGAAAACACTGATTAAATGTTCCTTGACTGGTCATTTTGGTTCCTCCCTTTTTGGGGCTTCCCCTGGGGGTGGGGAGGTAGGGGGGTGGGACTATGACTAATGTGCGTGGGAGTGAATGTTTACATTTATGTAAAGCAGTCTGGAAGTGAAAAACTTTAATCTACCAAGGTTTCCAGGATCTAAAAGTTTGTCTTTATGAGGATAAAAAACCCAGATGGGTGGGCTTTTTGAGGTCAGGGGAAGGAGTTAAGTACAAAAGACAAGGAAGGAATTTTGGAGGGCGAAGGAACTTCAGTGTGTTTGTGGTTGTGTGACCATTCTGTGTACAGGAGACCTACAGAACTGTTGACTTCTGCAGGTAAAACTGGCCTTCAGGTGAGAGGGATTATGGTTGTGTTTTGGATTTTATTTTCTTGTCCCAGCCCCCCCATTTTAAATGCATACTGAATGTGTTATTTTTTAAAGTATAGAACAAAGTTTTTTTGAAAACTATAAAAAAAAAACCAAAGGGCTTTCTCTAAAGCCAGGTGTGTTCAATGAACTCACAGCTCATCAGGCTGCCTTTTTTGTTAGCAATACTAAGAAGATATTTTTATTTCTGTTACTGAGTAATGGGTAATTTTTACAAAATTCTTTTTCAGTGGCATTTGACTTTGGTGTTGAATATGAGTGTGAATTTCAAATTTCTTTAAATGCTAGTCACAGAAGGAAGTTTTACCATAAACTCCAGGGGAAGTAGAAATTTACCACCCTCCCTTACCCACGCCCTTCACCAACTCTTTTCAGCCTTTCACTCTAAGACCAGAGGTGGGTGGGGTTAGTTTTTAAATTGTCATTTAAAGTGGTCATATACCATCTTTGCTTGTTTCTCTCCTGGAAATGGGTAGGTAAAGCTTTTTCTCCTTTTCACTTAGGAATTAAGTTATGTGTGGGGAGAAAACCCTAAAATTTCTTCTTCATCTTCCCTTTTGAACAGTTGAATTTGTATCTATAGAAGAATAAACAAATGCAAATATCAAAGGTCAAAATGTCTTTCAGAAATTAGTTCTCAACCTCATATATCTGTAGAGATAAGTGATTCAGTGAGCTAATGTATATGTTACAAAGTATTAACTGTGTTGTTGTAGGGCTTTGTTTTTCAGCACTGGGGCTTGAACTTGGCCTCACACTTGCTAGGCAGGTGCTCAACCACTCAAGCCACTCAGCCAGCCCAGCTTTGTCATTGTAAATGTTGCAATGTTTCTAAACTACTTTGATGAGTATAAATCTGCAGTCTGGAAATCAACTACTAGCCTATTTGAGGTTGGTTGTAATTGTTCCCAGTTACACTTGACGTGAAGAAGAGCGTTGGTTGATGGTTCGTAAGACTGGCTTTTACAAATAACCCTGTTATTCTTTCTGTAGTTGAGGTGCTAAAGAAAATCGACATTCCATCTGTCTTTATTGGTGAATCATCAGCTAATTCCCTGAAAGATGAATTCACATATGAAAAAGGGTGAGTAACAAGCAGCAGAAATGTGTGACTTATAATTGCTCTTTATTTCAGGGTAGATTTGTGTATAATGCTAGTGTAATCAAAATTGTTTTAGAATGAACTCTATTGTGCTAAACTACCACTTTTTCAGTCATGATTTTAAGATTTACCATATTGTGCTCTATTGTTCTCTTCCTTTTGTATACGACTGCATAGTCAAATACACTCATGCTACAGAGAGCTGCTAATGTTGGCACCAATGCTGCTAAAAGATAAAACTTTCCATCTTATAGTTAATCAAACCACTGGTATTTAAAAACAGTGCAGTTTACATGTTCTGTGAAAAATGTGTCATGTTTTATTTAAAAGAAATTATTTTATAAACACAGAATCTAAAGCCTGATGTAAATGATGTACTTTTACAAAGCCAAGAAGTCATTTTTAAAGCTGTGAAAGTTGATTTAGACTAAGAACTTCTATATAAAAACTCACCCCCCAAATAGTCTCATTACAGAGGTAGCACAGGCTAAAACTCAGTACAGCACAGTTGTCTCACGGACAGCAGTGCCATGGGTGTGGGAGAGGCTCGTGAAACACGTCTCAGGTATAGCAGTCAGTACCTGGAGTAGGAACAGCAAGTACTAATAAAAGCACCCAGGGTTTACTGAGCATTTAGTGAGACCAGGCCCACACAAGCTCAAGACTGCTGTTTCTCCTTGTAACTCTCACAACAACCCTCTGGATGTTGTTGTCATCATCCTTTGTTGTCTACCCAGCCAACAGAGCACACCGGCACTCTGAAACCCGATTCTTTTTTTTTTTTTTTTTTAATGTATGTGTGTGTTTTCAACTACTTTTTTTTTATTCATTTATTCACATGTGCATACGTTGTTTGGGTCATTTCTCCTCTGATTCCCACCAACACCTTCCCCTCCCTCGCTTCCAGGCAGAACCTGTTCTGCCCTTATTTCTAATTTTGGTGAAGAGAAGACATAAGCATAATAAGAAAGACAAAGCTTTTTTGTTAGTTGAGTTAAGGATAGCTCTACAGAGAGATTCGTAGCATTGCTTCCATGTACAAATGTGTTAAAACCCAAGTTGATTCATCTCTAACTGGGTTACACTGGTTCCTAATACCCTTCTCATGTTGACTTCTGTTGCTTTAAGGTTTCTGTATTAGCTCCTCTGGAGTGTGGACATCAAACGCTTTCATGTTTTGGGTTTACTAATTATCACCATACCTCCCGTATATGCTTTCCCCTTGTGATGTGACCCAAGTCCAACAACATTGCTGTATTTGCCCAAGATCTAAAGTCCACAAAAGAGGGAGAATATGTAATTTTTGGTCTTCTGAGCCTGGCTAACCTTGCTCAGAATGATGTTCTACAGTTCGATCCATTTTACTTGCAAATGATAAGATTTTATTATTCTTCACAGCTGAGTAAAATTCCATTGTGTATAAATACCACATTTTCTTGATCTATTCGTCAGTAGTGGGGCATCTTGGCTGTTTCCATTACTTGGCTATTGTGAATAGTGCTGCAATAAACATGGGTGTGCAGGTGCCTCTGGAGTAACCTGTGTCACAATCCTTTGGGTTCATCCCCAAGAGTGGGATTACTGGATCGTATGGCAGATCTATGTTTAGATTTTCGAGTAGCCTCCAAATTTTATTAAAGAGTGGTTGCACTACCTTGCATTCCCACCAGCAGTATACGAGGGTTCCTTTTTCACCACATCCTCCCCAACACCTCTGAAACCTGATTCTTAATTATGCGTGTGGAATATTTGGGTTCGAAAATGGGTACAAAGAAGAGGCCAATGTTTTCTGTTAACTATTTTTTCCTTTTCCCATGTACAGTTTTGATCATTTTAAATATTGTTCACATATTATATGCTCAAAATATCTTCATTAAGTTAGAGAATACAATTTTTGAAGTTTCAAAAGCAGTTTTACCTGATGGTGGTCTTTAGCCATGTTCGTTAGTATAGGGAGCACTAATACTTATTCTGCCTCGGTAGTGCTCCTTCAGAGTATATTTTAGAGGCCACTTTGTTCTTAATTATAAAACCATGCTTTTTATGTTAAAAGGTAATACATGCCTATTGGTAAGTACATAAAAATCCAAAAGTAGAAAATAAAGTGAAAGTCCCATTGATGCTGTTCGCCATCCATAGCTGTTAAAGCCCTTCCTTTCCCATGTCTGTTTTCTCATGTTCACTAGTGATACTGTGCCCATGAAAAGGAACCTGTGACCCCAGCACTTCGTAACTCACTCCCTTTACTTCATGTGGCTCTTTCCATGTCAGTACAATTCCATACAGTCTTTTCTCTCACCTCTCAGAGACACACATTAAGGAATTAGAAAAAGTACATACATGGTGCTGGGGCTTGAGCACAAGCAAACATCGGATGTCAAAGCCTTTTAGGTTTCAGCAGGGTGCGTAGAGCACTACAGACACACACATGTGGATTTGTCCTACCTAACTATCTGCTTACCTAACCCGTTTTCTAGGAAATAAGGTAGCTTTTAATAGTACAGTAAGTTTTGAGTGTATGCTGAGGTTTACAATTTAAATTCAGAGCCACGGATTTGATATTAAGTCTATGTTTTACTTTTCTATGCTTGAAGACACCAGTTAATAATTATTTTCAGTCTTAATTGCATGATAAGATACAACAGACTCAGAAGAACAATACAGATACTACAAACAAAATTATTTAAAACACAGTTCTTTCTCTACTTAGGGTATGCTGTAATAGGTATAAAAGTCAACTAATTTTGTTTAGTTTGTTTGTTACTGTTGTGTATGTGCTGATGCTTTCAAGTGGAAACACAACTCTACTTGAGTCATGTGCTTTTAGAATGGAGAGTGCTCCCTCTCCTCTCAATTGTGACTTTTCTACTTAGGAAGAAACTTAAAGTCAACAAGACAAAGAATATTCAAAGAAATCCAGACTCTCAGTATCACCTACCTTGTCCACCCTGTTCCTGTCCTTGTAATGATTTTTACAAAAGATCATTATGGGTGAATACCTGTTTCTTCTCCCTCATCACCATCCTCAGAGTGCAAACCCTGTTCCCATCGCTGTTATATATGGTGCTGTTGTGAGCGGTCTTATCATGAAGTCTTCATGTTTTTGCCCTATCCTTCTGCAATAGATCCCTAGATGTGGTGTCACACATAGTTCATAGCTTACACATATCCATCTTGGCTAGACGTTGTCAATTTCCCATTCTAAGGCTGTGCGGGTGATGTGAGAGGGCCCTTTTCTCCCACAGCCTCAGCAACAAAGCGTGAGCTCAGAGTTTTGGACTTTGCTGATCAGACAGGCGAGAAATGTAGTTTGAAAGTGTATTTCTTGCATTACAGGCAGATTCCAGCATGTTGTTCTTAGGCTTAAGAGCTATTTGCATTTTGTTTTCTGTGAATTCTTCAGCCCATTTTTTTCTTAGGTTGTTGGTTATTTTCTTTACCAGGTATGCTAGACATTTGTTTGTGATATATTGTTTTGTATTTTTGATATTCTACTTATGGTGCTGTTTTTTTTTTTAATGTAATCATTTTGTATAATGTTTTTAAGGGTCATCATCTTGTAGCATGTCTTGGTGTTTTTACTGATGAAGACTATTCATCAATGAGGGACAAATAGCTTGTTTCCAAAGTGTTAAATAATGAGTCTTTGAGCATTAATGTGTAAGATTTTGTGTGTGCTTATATTTTGATTTCTTCTGGGCATACGCCTAGGATGGAATTGCAGGGTTATATAATAACTGTTTAACTTTGTGAAGACCTGTCGGACTTTTTCAAAGTATCTATACCATTTTATATTTGTATCCACAAGATGTGAGATTTCCAATTTCTGTTTCCAAAGGAATTTAATAATCAATTTCTCTAGTTCCAATTCTAATTGAGAATGCATTATAATTATAATTAATTTAGGGAGAATTGACATTTCAGTACACTAAGTCTCCTTATTCAAGGATGGTATGTCATCTACTTGTTCAGTTTGTACTTGGGAGCTTTGTTTAGTTTTCTTTAGCTCAGAGTCTATGTGAGAAACACATTTCTTGGTGGGGGGGTAGATGAAAGAATATGGAGGAAGGGGTGAATTTAAGTATGATGTACTTGATATATTGTAAGAACTTTTATAAATGCCACAACGTGCCCCACCCAGCATAGTACATGCACACATACATAAATCAAAGAAAAACATTCCTTGTTAATGTGAGCAAGTAGTCAGCAGGAATTGCCAAGCTGCTCACAGGACTGCCTAAAAGTCAGTCTGGAAGACAGAAGGCTCTGGAGGGCAGCTGTCTGTCCACCAGGCCCATAGTCCAGGGGCCGGGTGGCTTTTAGCTATCAGAAAGAGCAGAAAAGAAACAAGGCTTCTGTGTCAGCAGGAGTAAAGGAACCAGTATTGCTGTGAAACTTAAGCCTTGACACCAGTTGGGAGTTAGGTCAGGGACACACAGAGCAAAAAGACTGACTTCCTGCGTGGCCAGGACTTGCATCAGTGCTCAGTGCTCAGCGCTCAGCTGCAGAGCTCATGGAGTGCACTGTGTCAGGGTGGACATCATGCCCGCCACTTTTCAAATCAAGGTTGTCTGAGAGGAGGATGAGGTGACTCTGCAGCGTCACTGTAGGATACTGGAGCAGGCAGAAGACATGAAGATGAAGCCAGGCTGTGCTCTGTGGTAGCCCTCCACCCTGCGCCACACCACCACCATCACCAGCTCCACCACTGTCACCAGCTCCATCATTAGATAGCATTTGGTTAACAAAAAGCATGAGCTTCTCATTCCACACCTGTGCCATTTAAAATCCTCCTGATGCATCTGTTTTTATTTTTGCAGAACTAGGAATTGAACTTGGCCTTACACTTGTTGGCCTAGAGCTCCTAATACTTGAGCATTTAATATTCAGGTCTTGTGCTTTTTCTCTGGGTTGACTTTGGACTGAAATTTTTCTACCTTTGACTCACAGGCATGTGCTACCATGCCTGTAGGCCCCAAAGTGACCACGCGGAGGGGAGTGATCTGGCCAAGAGAGTCTTTATTGCTGGCCCGGTGAGGAGCGAGCCTCATGGGAGGGAGGGAGAGAGAGAGAGAGGGAGGGGGAGGGGGAGGGGGAGGGAGAGGGAGAAGAGAGAGGAGAGAGAGAGAGAGAGAGAGAGAGAGAGAGAGAGAAGGGCAGGGGCTTAAATACCCCTCAGTGAGACTTGGCATGATCTGATTGGTTAGGATCTTATGGTTCATGTGCTGATTGGAGGTTGGGGCAGAAGGGGAACTCAAGCTAAACTTGAGGCAGGACCGTGACCCTGGGAAACAGAAGCTTAAGGGTGCAGTAAGAACCGAAACCTATCGGTGCCATTATTGCCACCATTCCTCCCTTTTTGTTTGTTTAAGGAAGGGGGGTGTTGTGTTTGCTCTGACTTCTTTGAGCTGGCAAGGGGCGACGTAGGGGAAGGGATGGTTAGTTGGCAAACAGCGTTGGGGTGGCGAGTCTCATGATGGCGTACACCGAGGCTCCGAAAATGAAAATTTCTTCCTCTCTGAAGTTTGATGAAGGTCCCTTGTAGTCAAAGGTCATAGAGAGTCTCGAGCCAATCCTCCGGGCTCTGTATGGCAGGTATTAACCATCTGTCTTTGCGTAGGGAGTCGAGGAATTGTAGCAGGCGTTCTGTGAAGGGTTCTTGATGTTTATAACCCAATGTCCTGGTAGGGTCCATTCTAGATATCTTCTGGATGTGTTAGTAGGGGTTGGTATCCTTGAAGGAGAAGCTGGTTAAAGGTATGGTTAGAGATTTTGTTGACCTGAGTTTGTAGAAACTTTAATAGACAAGGTAGGAGGGTGCAAAAGGCGATTAGCATGAGTACAGGTCTGAGGAGGGGTAAGAGCCAAGCAACGAGAGAGGAGTGTAGTAGGTCTGTCAGGCTAGTCTTTGTGGGTTTTCTTAGGAGTTCCTCAGCCAAGTCTGTTAACTTTTTGGTCTCTTTAGCTGCTTCCTGCTGACAGGGGGCATTGTATGGGGCAGGATCCTCAGGCTCCGGTGTCCTGGTGGGGGCCCTCATAGCAGTCCTCTGGACGGTTTTGGAGAGGTTGGTGTCCCTGGAGGTACAACTGGTTAAAGTTTTGGTTAGCAGTAGCAGACATGTAGTGTGATACAAGAGATGAAGCTTAAGAATAGGACAGCAAGAAGAAACATAGGCATTAGGATGGGCATTGGCCGGGAGAACCACTGTGAAATGTTGTTCCCTAGACAATTTCAAGAGTCCTCTAATTCCCTTCTCCATTTTTCTAATTCTTTCTTGAGAGGTGCTGCCATTGGGGGAACCCATTAAGCTTGACAGCAGTGGGTGTCAAGAGAATGACCAGATGAGTGCTGGTCCATTGAAGTCCCAATGGAGAGGGTAGAAGATCCGTTTTGGAGAACAAGATGCCCTGGTTTAACAGAAATTGTTATAGGGTGGGGCAGGATCTGGTTTGCATGCTCTCTGAGAAGTTCCCTGAGAAGGCAGGTAGTCAGCCAGAGGAGCAGAGTCTGTTGGAGGCAAGTTTTCTAAGAGAAATGGGTGGCCATACATTATCTAAGACCCAAATAGGAATATTAGGAGGAGCATAAAAGGTGTCTGCTCAGGGACTGCATACCTAGGGATCTAAATTCTGTAAAATCTGATTGGTTAGGATCTTATGGTTCATGTGCTGATTGGAGGTTGGGGCAGAAGAGGAACTCAAGCTAAACTTGAGGCAGGACCATGACCCTGGGAAACAGAAACTTAAGGGTGCAGTAAGAACTGAAACCTATCGGTGTGATTATTGCCAACAATGTCTGACTTGTTTTTGACATAGAGTCTGACTAACTTTTGCCCTGGTTGGCCTTAATCCACAGTCTTCCTGAATAGCTGGGATTATAGCCATGCACCACCATGCCCAGCCTTCATAATATATCAGGACCATAAAGTAAAACAATTTGAAATTCAGCAGATACTAAGAGGACATGTACAATATTAGTTTTCGAATTCAGGTCAATGAATCCTAATAGTGCCCTGGAAAATTCTGGAATGCAACTGTAACACATAGGAAGTTTCTCCTACAGTGTGCTAATTTCTTGCTCACTGGGACTTCCCAGTTTGTTCTTTTAGCTTGTTTCCTGTCACCTAGGAGCTCGATTTCTGAGCCCTAGATCTCGTGTTGTGGTATAGCATCTATTTGTTTACCTCACGCAAGCCAAACTGTCTCAGGAAGTCATAGCATAGAGAGAGAGAAGTAGAAGCAAGACATGGGAAGTATAAGCTTTCCTACTGCTCAGAGGCTACAGTTGGTTACATTCAGGTTCTACAAGTACTCTGACCTCTCAAAGGTAGCAACAGAGAGGACTGGGGTGTCACAGAAGGTTGAGTGTCTCACAGAAAGGCCTGTGTACTCAGAGTGGTGCAGCTTCAGGCGGTTTGTGCCAAGAATGAGCTGTGATTTACAGTTGGGCTCTATCTAGGTAGGGAGGACCGTTTCAAATAGATGGGCCAAGGCTTGTTTCTGCTTTCTCTTTCTTACCAGAAGTATGTCAGTCACATCAGTATTCTGTGTAATGCCTGCAAAGCGTGCTGTGAGATCGTGGTTCTTGCCCCTTCTGCTGGAGAGTGGCTTAGTGGGCCCTGAGTCCCAGCAGTCTAGCTGGCGGGTTTTGGAAGCCATTCAAACTATTGGAGGGACGTCTTCCAATAGTCTTCCTTGTGTTTGTGAAGCGTGCTGGAGCGCTTTGGGTGTGAGCTTAGTGGGTAATAGTCCTCAAAACAGCTTAGCGATGGAAACAATTTATTTTCATATGATTTTCCTTAAGTACTGTGAACTTCTAAGCACCTCTGTTGTTGGGGGAAGGAATCAACCTGTTCTTATTTCCCTTTAACCCTGTGTTGTGAAGTCCCAGCACCTAAAACAGTCACCACAGTGGGTCACAGAGCAGCACTGCTGTCCAGAGCAGCATAGGCACAGAACATCTGGTGGGGAGGTGACACGGACCCGTCCTAGACCCAGGGGATGATGACGGTAAAGTCCACGGCACATCAAGCTTGCCCGTGCAGCTTTCACTTCCTGCGTGCCCCCCAACTTTTGTAATAGCAACGTCACGGTGACTAACCTGGTTACAGCAAAGGGGGCCAAGAAGCCTTCTTTCCTTGCCCGTCACGGCCAGCCAGGAGAGACCACTTTGGTTCTGTCCCTCATGGATGAATGTAGGTGCGTGAGGCACCAGTGGCTCTGAGCTTTTGCATAGAAGGAAGTGGTGAATCTCTAGCAATAAAGGAAATGCAAATTAAAACCACACTAAGATTCCACCTCACCCCTGTTAGAATAGCCATCATCAGCAACACCATCAACAAAAGGTGTTGGCGAGGATGCGGGGGAAAAAGGAACCCTCTTACACTGCTGGTGGGAATGTAAACTAGTACAACCACTCTGGAAAAAAATTTGGAGGTTACTTAAAAAGCTAAACATTGATCTACCATATGATCCAGCAATACCACTCTTGGGGATATACCCAAAAGACTGTGACACAGGTTACTCCAGAGGCACCTGCACACCCATGTTTATTGTGGCACTATTCACAATAGCCAAGTTATGGAAACAGCCAAGATGCCCCACCACGGACGAATGGATCAAGAGAATGTTGTATTTATACACAATGGAATTTTATGCAGCCATGAAGAAGAATGAAATGTTATCATTCACTGGTAAATGGATGGAATTGGAGAACATCATTCTGAGTGAGGTTAGCCTGGCCCCAAAGACCAAAAATCGTATGTTCTCCCTCATATGTGGACATTAGATCAAGGGCAAACACAACAATGTGATTGGACTATGAGCACATGATAAAAGCGAGAGCACACAAGGGAGGGGTGAGGATAGGTAAGACACCTAAAAAACTAGATAGCATTTGTTGCCCTTAACGCAGAGAAACTAAAGCAGATACCTTAAAAGCAACTGAGGCCAATAGGAGAAGGGGACCAGGACCTAGAAAAAAGGTTAGATCAAAACGAATTAACCTAGAAGGTAACACACATGCCCAGGAAATTAATGTGAGTCAACTCCCTGTATAGCTATCCTTATCTCAACCAGCAAAAACCCTTGTTCCTTCCTATTATTGCTTATACTCTCTCTTCTACAAAATTAGAGATAAGGGCAAAATAGTTTCTGCTGGGTATTGAGGGGGTGGGGGGGAGAGGGAGGGGGCGGAGTGGGTGGTAAGGGAGAGGGTGGGGGCATGGGGGAGAAATGACCCAAGCCTTGTATGCACATTAAGAAAACAATAAAAAAAATAGGAAAAAAGAAAAAAAGAAGGAAGTGGTGAGCAGACATGGGCTGAGGTGGAGCTTTGCTGAAGTGCTACGCAAGGTCCCACCATTGTTTCTGTGCTCGTTTTGCATATGAAATACAACTTCGGCCCAGGTTACTAAATAGTAAATAACATCCCTCTTGGAGAGGCATAGTAAGCATTGGTTAGCTTATTTTCTTTACCTACTGTAAGAACTTTTCATTAAATAGGCAAGTTATTCTGAAAAATATGTGAAATAGAGATATAAAAAGCATCCCTTAAATTATCGGCTGTCATCTGTCAGGGTGTGAACTGTGTGATATTACTCATCAGTGAAGAATGCAACATTTGCAGGAACATGGGTGGAACTGGTGATCATCACGTTAAGTGAAGAAACACAGACATTGCATGTTCTCTCTCACGTGTAGAATCTATACCTGAAAAATATTGAACAAAATAAATAAGAAATAAGATGTGCATAGTGGACCAATTGCAATCTGTGTCTTTTTATTACACCATACCTTGACAGCTCCTGCAAATTCTCCCTAACTTTGCTTTCTTCCAGGGCCCACATCATCTTAGTTCCTGAGTTTAGCCTTCCTCTGGAGTACTACCTGATCCCCTTCCTCATCATAGTGGGCATCTGTCTCATCTTGATAGTCATTTTCATGGTAGGTAAATCAAGTCTTAATAACTATAAGTTAGGATGGATGGATCCGAACACGTCCTGTGTGAAAGAGCATGTCTCATATGAGGCCATTTGTATGAAGTTCTGGAGAGGGCAAGGGTGACATGGTGGGAGCCCCCAGAGAGCGACTGGCTCTGGGTGGCAGCGGGGGAGGGGAGCAGAAGATGTGGGGGCTTGCTGCATCTTCATAGAAGCTGGGGCAGCACAAGTGCATAGCGTCTGTCTGAACACGCCGATTTGGATACTTAGGTTTTGTGCATGTCATTGTATGTAAATTCTACCTCAAAAGAAAACAGAGGAGCTATAAAGATACAAAACTCTTAAGTAATGACATATGCTATAGTTTTTTGGGGAAGGTATACTGACGTATAGCTTACTTTGAAGTGCACTGCACAAATTTTGAGGAAAAAAGTAAGATGTATTGATGGGTAACTACAGGAATGGGTAGTTAATAGTGTTAACTGTAGACTCTAGATAGTGGATGTGTTGGTATGTGTCTTTAAATTATTTTGTCTTCCTGAAGTACGTTTGAGAATTCTCATATTAAAATGAAAAGACAGCACAGCATGGGGCTTGAGGGTGAAGGATGGCAGAAGCATTGTGTCTCCAAAATAGTCCTGAGGGAAGGGTGGTTGGGTTGCTTTGCAGGACTTGTAGCGGGCTTGTGAGGGAAGGTTATTGTCATGGTAATTCCAGGATAATGGCTGCCAAAGTCATGAGTGCAGTGCTCTAGAGCCTGTGTGATGTGAAATTTCAAAACATTTGAAGACAGAAGCAGATATGGAAATCCCTCTGTTTTCTCTTTATACACATAGCAAAAGGAATTTACAATGATAGAAGACAATTACATTAATCTAATTTTTTGCTTACTTTTCATAAAGAGTATTTATTTTTTGTCAGTACTGGGGTTTGATCTCAGGGCCTTATGCTTGCTAGGAAGACATTTTGCCAGTTGAACCATGCTCCCAGCCCTTCTGCTTTAGTTATTTTGAAGATGGGGGTCTCACATTTTTGCCTGGACTAGCTGGATCCTTTTATTTATGCTTCCTTTGTGGCTGGGATGACAGGTGTGTACCACCATACCCAGTTTACTGATTGAGATGGGGTCTCACTAACTTTTTTTGCCCAGGATGGTCTTGAGCCACAGTCTTCCCCATCTCTGCCTCCCAAATAGCTGGGATTATAGATGTAAGCCACCATGCGTGGCTGACAGAGGATATTTATTTAACATCCCGTGAGCTCATCAATGTCGTGAAATTATATTAATTTAGAGGCTAAATGCTATCCTTAAAATGTTTAATCATCCTATGACACCGTGATATTTTTCATTTATTTAGGTCTTTCATATCCATCAATTTAGTGATTTTTTTTTGACAATCTTGTGTGTGTTGAAAGGGATTGAACCCACAACCTCACTTTTGTAAGTCTTTGTTGAACTTGTTACATATATAAATTTTTTTTTTTTTTTTTTGCTATTATGAGAGATTTTGAAATGCTGCTTTCTAATTGTTACGGGGATCTAAGAACATTACTGGTTTAAAAACAAACTTTTAATTTTAATTTTGCAGTTCTCTTACTTTACAGAAAAGTCGCAGAGGCAGTTCCTCTCTACCCCTCCTGTGTCCCTGTTGTTAGCATGTTAGTGACTGTGGGTTCATCAGCACTAAGAATCTGATACTGGTGTTTTACTGTCGAGCCCTATTACTTGTGGAGTTCCATTACCAGTTCCTATTATGTCTTCCTCCTGCCCAGGACCCAGTCCGGGCTATCTCCCATGTCCTCTGCTGTGTGACAGTCTCTCGGTCTAGCTGCTCATGGCATTGACAGCCTGGAGGGCTGCTGGCCTGTTATCCTGATGTGTTTTTCTCATGATCATACTGGGTTAGGTTTTTCAAGAAATGTCACTGTGGCGAGTGCCTTTTGTCCCCTCTTGCTGAGTACAGGACATCTATCCACCAGCACTGCTGATGGTGTCCGTGTTCCTTCACCAGTTCTCACGGTGTTTGCCTCCTTTCTGCAGTGGAAAATCGGCCTTTTCCCCTTTGTTCTGTCTTTAGAAGTGAGCTAAGGGTAGTCTACTGTAAAGGACCGCTATCTCTCCCTCACTAGAAATTATTCTGTAAGAAAGAGTTTGTCTTCTCAGCATTCATTCATTGAATGACTATTCATCATGTATATTAGTGTGTACTCAGGTGAATATAGTTTATACTCCAGCACTGCACTGCTTTTCTTGCTTAAGTTGTTTGAGACTTGGTCATTGGGAGCTTTGTTAGCCTGGGTCCCGGGTCCCTCTGATTTCACCCATTCCTTCTGGTTTTAGCACTTTTTTACTGTCTGGTTCAGTACAATGCACAGGCTCAGATTTTCTTTGTTGCAGCTCTGGAATCAGACATGTTTCCCAGGAGGACTGGTTCCTTTTATTGAAGAGTTATAGTTAGAAGCCAGATTTCTACACTGTACAACATCAGTTTTGATATTAACTTGCTGAATTCTCCTGTTCTGGTCATTTGTTTGTTGGATTCTCTTGGATTTTCAAGGTAGAAGCAAGGACGTATAGAAGGTTGGAAAACCAAACAACAAGCAAAGAGAATACTCTTGTCAAATTAGGTGTCAAAGTAAATATTTTTAAGCCGTGAAAATTATAGTTTAAAAACTTAGAGCAAGCATATTAGGTGGAGGCACCTAATGGCCTTTCTCGTGGGTGGCCATTGTGTCTCCTATTCGACACTGTGCTGTATTTTGTGGTACAACAGGGAAAAAACAGTGTGAGGGGCGATATGAGGAAATCCAAGATTTATTTGCTTGTTTTCCTTACATGGGTACTGAATTGCATATTGTTCTTCTAACCCCATTGGTTTTTCTCTGCTTTTTTTCTGTCCATATGTTGGGAGATACTAATTTGTTTTGTAAAATTTAAGAATCCTTGTATTTTGGGGACAAATCCTACTTGCTATGTTATGTAAATTTTGTATTACAGTTTTAGATTGTTCAGATTTCTGACATAGGTCAATCTTACACTGAACATGGATGTAAAAATTTTTAGACACCTGAATATCCAGGTAGGAGAAATCTTTAGTTTTATAGGGTTAGAATAATCTTGACATCAAAACTAGACAATGCTGTGAGCGCAACAGATAGGTGTATAGCTGGAACAGCCACTATAGAAAACAGTATGACAGCTCCTTAAAAAATTTAATGCAGAATTACCACGTAACCTGGAAATCCCAGTTCTGAGTACACTATAGCAAAAACAGTTCAAAGCAAGGATGCAAATATATATTAAACATTCATATTCCGAGAGCATCATTCATGTAGCCATGGCAGAAGCAACTTCTCTGTCTATTGACAGATGGTAGATAAGCAGAATGCAGATGAAAATACAGTGGACCATTAGTGGCATTGGAAAGGAAGGAAATTTTGACAGTGTGCCACAACAAGGGTGAAAGTTGAAGATGGTAAGCCAGTCACAACAGGACGGACCATATGGTTCTGTTACCTGAGGTGCCCAGAGTGGTCAGTTCATAGAAACAGGAAGTAGAGTGGTGACTGGCCAGGACTCGGGTTGCTTAATGGACAGAGTCTCAATTTCACAAGAGGAAAGCCTTTATGGGGCTGGATGATGGTCGTGGTAGGGCAGCAGTGTGAATGCTTTAGCCGTGACTGCCTAAAAAGTCAGGATGGAAAGGATAGGTGATCTGTCTTTTACCGTAATTTCAAAACCACAAAATTAGTCTAGCCTTAAGACTAAAGCTGTCCCTTATTTCCTGTCTTCTAAAACAGTTTTTTAAAACATAAAATTGGGGTTATCTATTGCTGGACTTGTGAGGCTGCCTATAAAAGAAAAAAAATGAATACGTGAGTATTCGGATGGTTTTCTACATCTTAATAAATTTCATTTTTTTCCTTTTTTTTGCAGTACTAGGGTTCCAACCCTAGTTTCAACTCAGGGCCTCATGCTTGCTCTCCCCGAGGCATGTCCTTTTTTGGTTTATTTTTTCAATAGCAGTGCCCCCATGTAACTGGGATCATATGCACACACCAGCACTTCGGCCTATTCATTGAGATGGGGGCTCTCCAACCACTCCTCCCAAGTGGCTGCAATCATAGGTCTGGGTCACCGTGCCTAACCGTTGCTTTCAAGTGCAGCAGGACACATGATCTGTAATATTTGTATTACAAATATTACATAGCAGTGTCACACTTTCTGCCATATTCTGTAAAATGGAGACTCTGATTCTGTACTTTATTTTTGCATTGTGTGTGAGCTTCCATTCTTAACATTATCTTTTGCTTTGGTTTAGTGTATTGCTTTTCTCTTTCTAGCTTGTTCAACCAGATGTTTATTTTTTTCTCTCTAATACATGCATTTCTGTTACAAATTCTTTCTTAACAATTACTTAAGGTATAACTCATCACTTTTGACAAAGATTATTTTTACTCCCATTTGACTCAAATTTTATAAGGTTCATTTTATATAAAAGACTTCTTTAGTCCTCGCTGTTTCTGTGCAGGCAGATGGGGAACTGAGCTGCTCTAACTCCTGGTCTTTCTCTGCCTGTTTACCCATTCTGCCTGAGTTGAAAGGAGGAGTCTTATCTGTGTGTGGCATACTTGGCTTTCTTTTGGGACCAAGCTGTCACGGGTGTTGTTCTGTGCTCCAGGGTTAGTTCTGTAGTTCTACAGCAGGGAGAGGAAGGCCTTCTCATTCCAGAGTCACCCTTGTTTGTGTCCAGTGGCTAAGGTGGCCTAACCCTGTGGCTCTCAGGAGCTCAGTCTCTTCCAGGGAGTGGGTTACCCCAGCCTCCTCCATCCCCCTGCTCCTGATCTTGTTGATTGTGTTGCTAGAGTCTAGGTGATGAGGAGGCCTACCCAGGAGCTGCTGCCCACTGGGATTGGCCCTGGGACTTACCAGGTGTTTCACTAAGGTTTTAAATGTCCATAATTTGTGTTTTCCAACACTGTAATTGATTTTTAATTTTTACT